GCCTTGAAACCGTATCAGAAAATAAGTTATCAAAATATAGTTTTTTTATTACCTATGGATTATAACTAGATACTAAATTTTTTTCTCAAGTAGTTATAAATCTTTATAGCAACTTTCGTAAAGAAAGGAAATATTATTGTTGTATTTGGTATACATTTTTAAAACTCACTTTAAAGACCATGTTTTGAAATTAGAAACAACAGCAATTAATTATTATTGTATTTGATTTTTTTTAAAGAAAATAATAAATATTTAATTTTAAAATAATATTTGAACACAGCAGTAATAACACAGACATCTAAAATGCCTGCAGACTTTAAAACATTATTATAACGATAGGTTATTACAACAATGTTAAAATAACATAGATAAATAAAATAGTACTTTAACTGATTACTTTTTTTCAAAAAAAAGTTATTGATTGTTGTTGCATTCGTTATAGTGATCTTATATCAGTCTTTTAGATGTGGAGAAGTGCTGGTTTCGGAGTTGTCCATTAATTACGTCAACAAAATAGGGGGGAGGGGGTCTGAACTTTTTTGACAATTGTTGACAAGGGGGAGGGGGAAGGTCAATTAAAGTTGATGTCAACAATTTTTTTTTGAGTTTCATTGCTTACATAACAGAAAATTAGGCTGAATTTGTAGCATAGTTTCTTTGTATAGGAGCGGGGGGGGGGGGGAGGGTAATCAAAAATTTACGTAATTTTATAGGGGTCGGGGGTCTCTGGAAATTTAAAAAATTGTTGACAAGGGAGAGGGTGAGGTGAAAATTTTAAAAATTTTTTGACGTAATTAATGGACAACCCCATTGCTGGTAAAAGCATAACCAGTTTAACACCATCAACTCACTTTGCTGCAAATTGAACGGAGAACATCAAGACAATTTGGACTTTAGCCCAAAAGCTTGACATTTCCTTTGTTTTCAAAAACATTCAACTTTATATTTAATAAATTTTTCTTTGGCTTCTTCTTTCTTTTTTTTGGCTTCCTCCTTTGCTGTTATCTTTTGTCGTTTCTCTTTTTTTATATCTTTTACTTTTGCTGCAACATTTTTTGCACACATTGAACCATAGACCTAAATAACACGAGAAGATATTTTTTCAAGGTTTGATTTGATTTGTTAATAGTTAGCAGATCACGAACATTTTCTAATTCGAGGCTTTGCTCAGCCATTTTTCTAATCAAAATTTGAGACTGGTCAAACTTATCTTTCCAGCAACTTGCCGAACCTTTCCTTTTACCAACTGGTGACGATATGGTTGACTCAGGCTTTTTGAAAGAAGTTGACGCTGGTTCTTCTTTATGAATACATGAAGCAGCTCGCTCAAATTTATCTTGTTGGATAAAGTTAACATTTAATTCAAAAGGTGTTATTCCAACTCTTTTTAAACTAGAAACAAGAACCAGTTTCGATGCCCATTTCTCCCATATATTGCCTAAGATGGTCATAAATCCCTCTCTATTAATTGATTGCATTGGGTTGAAAAGATAATTCATGATTATTCTGTAATCATGATGAAGATTTTTATTAACCTGGTCAAGCAATTGAGTTACACCAGTAGTGTTGGGAGGAGAAATAAATAATCAAACTTGTATTGAAAGGAGGTATATTAAACCATCTTAACTGAATTGTGAATTATCTCCGTCAGATAATAAAACAACAGGTCGTTCTATTGCCTTCTCAGTAAGGTAACCATCAAATTCTTGGCACTGCTTTTTCTAATTTTAAATTTTTTGCATCTTTGAACTTTCTCCGAATTGATGCCGCAGGCTTACTTTTTCCATGATTAGATTGTATTTTTTCCTGTCTGAGCTGAATTTTTGGCTTTATTTTCAATGTTATTTTTTCTAACTCTATTTGAATAAAAAAATTATCGTTAAACATTTTAGAGTAAATTATTCGTTTACAGAACATATCTAAATACTAAAAAACTACTTTAAAGTACATATTTAGATTTTGCTCTAGGTTCAAACACAAAGTAAGTTTTAATAAATTCTTGCTATTATTATGTTCTAAAATGTTATTGATTTTTAATACGTAAAAAACACGATGTAAACTTTGTTTAAAACACTGCAATGACATCTTTAGAATCAAGAGGTTGCATAGAATCAATAAAGAAAAAAGCGAGAACACATGTATAGTCAATAAATGTTATTTTAAAAACATCAATTTTGTTTTTGGGGTACCTATCTTGTGGTTTTTGTGGTGTATTGGGTATTTTCTCCAAGATTAAGTTAGCAATAACTGGTATTACTTAAAGCAGATCAAATAATATTAGAACACACCAAATTTCAGCTTCTTAGGTTCACTAGCTGCACAGATACAATCGATAAGTTGAATGCGGTTTTTGGGTACACATACAAAAAACAACAAAAGTTCAGTTAACAATAACAACAAAACTATTACTTAAAAATTATTCAAACTAGCTGGGAAGAACTGATTTTAAGTTACTCTAAACACATTCAAAACAGTTTTTTTCAAAAGCAAATAAAAAAAAGTTATTGAGATGTGCTTTTTTTGGTGTTTTTGCGGTAAATATACCTGTATAGGTATTTCTCATTTCACATTGAAAGTCAATGGATTCAAGAAGGTTTCAAAGCCAATGAAAATTAATTTCAGGGTTGTCCCGAACGAAAAGGGCGTAGGGGGTCTAGCCCCCCTACAAAGTTTTTTGGTCGGCAAATTGGAACTGGAGTCGGCAAAGTTTTTTTTTTTTTTTTTTTTTTTTTTTTTTTTATAAGTTGATTTAGGTGCCCCAAGAAGTCCTTACGGTCTTATCACAGAGCACCGCGGAAGAGCATTTAATAGGAAGTTCACGCCTCATTCCCAACCGATGTCGCAAAACTTGCTCAGAGGTGGGGTTTGAACCAAGGATCTTACGTTTCTGAGGCAAGTGCGCTACCACTGCGCCACGGCTGCTTTTGTTGGATTTGAAGTTGGATCTATTGTTGGCAGTTGGCAAATATGGGAAAACAAGGACCTTTTTTTTTTTCAAAAAAAGGTCCTCGTTTTCCCATATTTGCCAACTGCCAACAATAGATCAAAAAAATTTCCCCATCAAAAAATTTTTTACATCAACCCCCCCCCCCCCCGCCCTTTCTTTAAAATCTTTTCGGGACGGCCCTGATTATTTTAAAAGAAACCTTTTTTTTTTTTTGTTTTACCAACTAATAGTCCTTGTACCAGAATTACAATATTTTTAGCACTTTTTTTTTTTTGCATTTAAGCAGCAAAAAACTATTATGGTTTAGAAAATATTGAGATATTTACAATATGCATAAACCAATTCAAACTACGCTTCAAATAATAAATCAACATTTTTTCTATAGAAATAAAATGGTACATGTAGCAATAAAACATTTTTAGTAAAAATTGTTGGTAATACACAGTAAAACACTCATGTTACCTTTATTTCAAAAAAAGTAATCGAATATTACAGTAATCGGTCACGTTTTGAGGTCTAAGAAGCAAAAGAATAATAAAATATAAGCAAAAACTGTCAGAAAATCCTAACCAGTTAGCGAGTCCAACTGAAGTTTTATCCAATGTTTGCTGTGGCCATATGTTACAAACTTTTATCAAATTATATATAGTGATTTTCATTATACAGGTATTTTTATTGTCGCACTCTAAAGTCAAAATTTCACTTAATTTGAAAACTCAAATTAAATTATTTTCCGGGAAGAAAAGTAAAAGACTTCGAAGTTTGCATTATAGGGTATCTTAATGTGTACGCTATTATAGTAATAGTAATAGTAATACAAACTGCTGTAGCGACGATTGTCGCGGAGTATAAAGTTTAAAATTTATACTTTAACAGCCGTTAACAAATGTTTATCTAGTCTAGATTTAAAAGAATTTACTGTCATTGCAGAAACCACTTTTTCAGGTAAAGCATTTCAATGAGGTATCACTCTGTTCGTAAAAAAATTATGTCTCGGTGTTGTTTTTGCAAATTCTCTTTCAAATTTCATTGGATGACCTCGAAGTCTCTGGGAAGAAGCTTTATTAGGCTCTTTATACCATAATATCTTATCAGTCCCAGTTGTTAATTTAAAGAAAGCAATGAGATCTCCTCTTATACGTCTTGTTTCCAGAGTTGTGAGGCCCAACTTTGTCAATCTTTCGGTATAACTTAGATGTTTTATTTCAGAGGCTAGCTTTGTTGCTCGTCTTTGAATTTTTTCTAGGTCATTGATATTGTTTTTATTACTTGGACTTCACACTGGAGCTGCGAATTCCAAGTGCGGTCTAACCAACGATGTGTATAGTTGCCTTACCATTTCAGTGTTAAGATAAGTAAAGCTTTTTCTTATTAAACATAAGGTTCTTTGTGCTTTATTTGTAGTTAAAATAAAATATTACCCTATATAAGTGGCATTTTTGGGTCAACTAATTTGGCATTATCAAAATTCGTGTAACTTATGCAGAAATATAATTTAAAAATGCATAAATGTAAATTTAAACAAGTCAAAATTAGAAAATATACATAAGAAAATATGAAACTGAAATAAGAAACTTTAAAAAAATATCTATTTTTTAATTAAGTTGAAATGGTTTTTTTTGTTTTTTATTTTAACTTCAAATTTCCTTATTTATATTTTCTTATTTTGATTTTCTTGTTTCAATTTATATTTACTCATTTTTTGGATTATTCCGTATGTATTTATCTTAAACAATTATAGAAAGATGGACTGAGTTGTAATTACAAGTACTAAAAAGGCCATCTGATTTGATTCAGCAATAATGGCGTTAGTTAAAATTGACTACTGTGAATTTTTTTTTTTTATTATTCAATTTAATTCCTAGTCTTCTGACTAAAATAGATAGTAATAAAACACTTCGCATTAATTTTATATTAGAGAAATTATATAAATATATATATATATATATATATATATATATATATATATATATATATATATATATATATATATATATATATATATATATATATATATATATATATATATATATAAGTTTTTCATAAATTATAGGTTATGTTGGTATTCGTGTGACAGTAGCAGTTATTGCAAAATTTTGTGTTAACCTATCTTATGGTGCTGTTTATATTTGGTCAACTGAACTATTTCCAACTTCTATACGGTAAATGTTAAACAATTTTTACGTGCTTTAAAATTAAATTTTCTACTGGTTCAATTTATGGAAAATTTAGGTCTCACGTGTTTGATTAATTTAGGTCTCAAGGCTTAGGAGTTTGTGCATGGGCTGCTATCTTAGGAGCTGCAGCAGCACCATGGTTCAGCCAATACCTGGGTTACGTACATAGATCACTTCCATTTTGTGTGATGGGTAGCATACTTATTATTTCTGGGATATTTTGTTGTGTGTTAAAAGAAACAAATGGAAAATCAACAGCAGAAACACTTTCCGATAGAAACAGAAACAGTAATAATTCTATATGTTTTAAATTATTAAAATCCATTCAAATGTTGAGTAATCAAATACCGTAAATGCTCATATTAATGTAATATATGTTTTAGAACAATACTTATGTTATTTTCATGCAAATAAATATATTCGAGATTAAAAAAAGAATACAAATGTTAAATAAAAATCTCAGAAAGAAGTCTATCAAATTATCAAATTGCCCCTTAATTTATCGAAGCCCCTCAATTTATCGAAGACCCCTCAAATAATCAAAGGCCTTATAAATTAATAAAACTTTTATAAAAGTTCCTTACTTTCATTACGTTAATAATTGCAGTTACGGTATTCAGAGTTTAATAAATTTTTATATAGAAAAACATTTATGCTTCTTTGATTATTTTTAGTTGTTGTAGATGACACTATAACGGATGCAGAATTGGATTATGAACTCATCGCGAAAAATGTTGAAAGTAAAAAGATAATTTTATAGGCATAATTGTTCTTTGCGTGATATATAAACAATAAACTTACTTCAAATTTAAACATAACTAAATACAGATGTAAGCACACAAACCTGAAGATAATATAATACAAAACTTTTTAAATGAATGCACACAAGGCGCTAAATCCGTAAACAGAAAGAACAAAGAAATAACATAAAAAAAATAAACTTCTTTTTTTTATAAATCAAAATAATTCTGAAACTTTTAAGCTATTATGTGATATTTTTTTTAATTTTTTTTTATAAAAGTTATCATTCCCAGCATATTTGGCATAGAATAAATTTTGAAATAAAATTATGTCATTATCATTATTGACTACAAATTAGTTTTTATATAATAAGAACTTTATTTTATTTATATGATTTTATATAATTTAAATGATTAAGCTAAATTTGTTAGTTTTATATCATGAGTGTTTGTACCATGTACGAATTAAGTTTAATTTTCTTTATTTAAAAAGTTTGTTTTAAAATTATCTATCGCAACGTAACTATTTATTACTATTTTCTTCTTCAGAATTTTTTTCTTCAATTATTACCACAGCTATTTCAATTTTCAGCAACGTTCATGCACGTCTGACATACAGGTGCAGCGTTTTTAAGTTACTGCGTTAAAATTAGACTGCGCGGAAGTTTTCAACCGTTTGAACTTCTTTTGCAGTAAAATAGTAAGGTAAAATAATACTGAGGCATTTTAACGTTAAAATTTTACTTCACTCGTTATAATTTTATTAGCTTTTTAGTTAATAATTTATAAAGCTTATTTTGTCTAGATGTACAAAAATATTAACTTTAGTGATGTTAGGAAATATATTATAAAATAAATTACAGTACTTTTTCTTAAGATGTGAATGAAAAAGAAAAAGAAGCAAATTTTAAACGGCAGTGTCAAAACTTTGTTGTTCTTAACAATAAGTTGACGTATTGCAAAAAATGTATTGGCAAGGTTAAGAAAATTTATTTTATTGAAAGATATTTTTATTTAATTTAAAAGGTTTTACTTAAATAAAATAAAGTAATGAAACAATATTTTGTGTTGTGCTTTATTTTGAATTAACACAACATTTTTAAATTCGAAAAATTATAGCTTTAAAACAACTCAAAATAGTTTAAAAATTTCATACAAATATTTTTTTTTTAGTCCATGAAGGTCTTGGAACTTCTGAGAAAGCTGTTGCATTAGCTAGCCACTTAGGCATTAATGCTGTGAGAAAGCAAACTTCTTTTGCATTCAATTGTGGAGGATATCACCAAAAATGTAGCTCAATTTGAACGATGCCAAAAAACTCTCACAGAAACCTGTTAAAAAAGTGTCTCCTGCTTTAAAACCTGTCAAAATAGAACAACAAGTTATGAAACAAGCTGGTGTAGGTTTAATTAAACTACCTGAATCAAATGGATTCAATTATGTAATTGTCCTTATAGATTTTTTTTCAAAGTGGACTGAGGCTGAACCTCTTATCGACAAAACAGCAGTATCAATTACAGCCTTTCTCTATAAAGTTATTTGCAGACATGGTCGTTTTTAAATACAAATTAATGACCGAGGTTGTGAATTTGTAAATTCAGTATCCATTGCACTACATGATATGACAAGTGCTCAGCAACGTGTAAAGCCTGCTTACTATCCACAAGCCAATGACCTTGTAGAGAGACAGAATCAGACAATTAAGAAAGCAATTGTTAAAATCTTAAATAAAAATGTTAAAAGTTGGGCTTCAGTTTTAGATAGAATCCTTTTTGCTTTACGTAATAAAGTGCACAATTCAATGGGTTATTCACCATTTTGCCTTATTTATAACCGACAACCTGTGTGCCAGTTGATGTAAAGTCACAGATATAATCAATGGGGATAACTGCAATTCTTTATACGATAAAAAAGTTTTACAAAAAGCTTTACAAATGAAAATAGGATTCGAAGAAAAATCCATGACCAATATTGTTTTTGCACAAAGAAATATCTATAACATAAACTATATGATGATAGAAAGCATGCAACACCATCAAATTATTTTGTTGGTCAAAAAATACTATTGAGAAATCTAATAAATGAAAATAAAAAAGTTGGAAAAATGACTTACTCGTATGATATACTTGATATTTTGTTTAACTCAACATGTTTATTAAGAAAAAAATAAAGGGAACAACTCATTGAAACAGGAGTACTCCCTACATCATACTAAACCATTTGTTGAAGCGTATAGAAGTTCAAAATTGCGTAGTTTAACTTCTTAGTGCAACAATCAGGATAAATGTCAATCTAATTCCAAACTAATGAAACAACCCTACAACAAAATTCTCTAAAAAAAACTTGAAGAACAAGGACTTAAAATATTTATAATGCCAGATCTTTTTGATGGAAAAGGAAATGATGTACTTTCTAAAATACATGTTTGCATAGGTGGTGGCCATTGTTTTTTTAAAGCAATTTTGTTTTTGCTGACAGGTTCTGAGTGTCAACACATAGGTGTTCGCAATGTTGTTGTTAGGCACATGGTATCAAAACCTTGTTCCAGTCTTCGCCAGGATATTTAGGTGATGATGTAAAAAATTATATTACCAAAAGTGGTATGACCACAGATTGTATATGAGCTACAGATGTTGAGATTCTTGGTACTGCAAATCTTATTAAAATTGATATTGCTGTGATATTCTTGGTACTGCAAACCTTATTAAAATTGAAATTGTTGTGCTGGTCTTTTAGTGGAAAAAAACTAACATGGGTCAAATATCCTGCATTCAATAAACTTGACCAACTAACAACTCAAAGTATTTTTTGAGAAAATAAAAACAATCATTATAAAGTTGTTTTCACACTAAAAGCTTTGTAAATAAAATGATGTTTATACTAAACTAAAATAATGTTCATATACCAGTTGTTTTACATGTTGTTTGTTATAAAAAAAAAATAATTTGCTCAAGTTTGCATATACTTTACAACTCAAAAGAACGTAAATAAACTTGTTTGTAATAAAACTCTACATAAGTGATTTTATAGATCGCTAGATTATTAAATTTATTCTTAGATTTCTTTTTCTAACCTCACTTACATTCGTGCTGAAATTGTTGTTGACAGGCTAATATTAGACTTGCGCAGCTGAACTATACGTCATTAGATAACTTATTCCTTCAGCTACAAAATTATGTAAAATTATTTAGATTTTATGAGAGTAGTTGGCAGTACCATTTAAACTTGTGCAATGTGTCAAAAGCATTGATTCTCATCCACTTAAACTCAATCTCGCCATGTTGATTTAAAGTTGACCCAGAGAGTAAATTAAAAAAAAACTTATACTGGCGTAGGGCGACGTTATGTACAGGTAAGTGAGATTAAATCTCGTTAGTAAATTTTTATGCTCAATTGCACCATTTCTATTAGAAAAGTATAAAACCATGGGGTTTTGGTGAATGCGAACTTTCTCCCTAGATTCTGAGTTCAATCTCAATTGTAATTGTAAAATATGTACATAAAGTATAGTTTCAACACATCAATGCTTACGAGCCGAAGTGATATGAAAAATATTTAATTCTTTTTGCCCCAGTCAAAAGTTTAATTTTTATATTGAGCAGCCGTGGCGTAGTGATTAGAGCATGATAGTCATTGTATAATGGTTGCGAGTTCGAATCATGCTTGAAACAATTTACGTTATCGGTAAAGCTCGAAACGGGGAACCAACTCATGAAATGAATAAACCCTTGTGACGGTGCTTTGTGATAAGACCATTAGGTCTTATCACAAATAAGTCTATTTAAGTATTTTTAAATAAAAATAATAAAAAAGTTTATATAGATAAGACGAAATCGTATGCATTTTTAGTTATACAAAAAGATGTTGTCAAATGTTTAGTACATATTAGTCAGTATTGTTTTTGGGATCAACCAATGGTTGCAATTCAGATGATAATTAAATGAACTTCTTTTTTATTGCTGCTACAGACTTGTTGGCACGATTTTTTGATTTTTTTTTTTTTTGAGCCAATACCTTTTCTTCTTCTTTTTCTTTGAGTCACTTACCATCATTAACAAATTGCAGTTGTTTTCGTTAATACTACTATATAATAAAAATTTAAACTTTAGCTAGCAACAGTGACTGATATTTTATTTACAAATTGATAAAAGTTCTGAATGAAGCATAAAGTTTACTAACTTCCATTTCAAATTGATATGCAAGTTTTTATTTATAAGTTTTATTTATAAGTTTTATTGAAATTTTCAACAGTATTATTTATTTTTTTCGTAGGAATTCCAACCATCAATTGTTCAAGAAATTAATTTTTCAGACGTTTATGCTTCTATAGATGGGAAAGTGGCTAATTATCTAGAACAATTACAAAATGGCATTGATGAAGATAACGCCACTCACTGTTCGTTACAAAGCAACACTTCTATTTTGGAAGCAGAGACTGTTGTTCGTAATAATCAGCTTGCATATTTAGTCAATCCAGTTAAAGAAAAAAATGTTGGCTGCATTGTGAATAGTTTTACTAATCTTACTAAGCAAAAAAAAAAAAGACATCTTAGAACCATCAAACTTTAATTCTACTACAGTTTCAGATTTTCCGTTCGCAAACTCTTCCTACCCCCTGGCAAATTTACAGTTTTTTCTCTTGCTGGTACATTTTACAGTTTTTTCTCATTTCATTTGATCAAGTGATCAATAGTTGCATAGAAAAATTGCAACCTTTAATAAATTTTTAGTTTTAAAATAATTCAAATTTTTGTAAAGTTATTTGAATACTTGTTCTTTTATTGAAATATATATTTTTATCAATGCAGGTGATGAAGATGATGATGTCTTGGCATATCCAACGGAAAAAGATACCGAATAGTACAGGTCAGCTTAAATACTTCGTTTTAACTTCTCAAGAAGCATACTCAGCAAAGCTTAAATATCATCAAGACAAAATCCAACAGGAAAGAGAAAAATGCGAAAGAAAACAACTGTAATTTGTTAATGATGCTAAGTGACTCAAAGAAAAAGAAGAAGAAAAGGTATTGGCTCAAAAAAAAAAAAAAAATCAGAAAATCGTGCCAACAAGTCTGTAGCAGCAATAAAAAAGAAGTTCATTTAATTATCATCTGAATTGCAACCATTGGTTGATC